GTCTGGAGACGGTCTTCCCTGGAGGACACTCCCAATCACCATAGGCCAAGCACCACCTGTTCCGCCAAGACTTCTGCGTACTCGGCTTATGCCCAATAAAGTAACCTCTCTCCTTTGCCTTCCGGCAATTGGCTTGTACCCAGCCAAAGGTCCCCTGTTGCTTGGAGATCGAATACAAGTACATAAACTGCTCAAATGTTGGCTCCCCCAACCCAACCAACCACCAAGCAATGTAAACTCCATGCAGAAGTAGCCAAAAGTTGGGATTGTATTGCCCCGGCGCATACCCCAACTTGGCCAGCATCATCTGTACCCAAGGATGAAACGGTAGTCTGAGACCATGCTGGTACATATCGGTGAATATCATCACTGAACCCTCCGGAGGATATCTCACTACATCCGCAGCACTAGGTAACCTCAGGCCCACATAGGATGGCACACTATAATCTGTCCGAAGCTCAACCAACTTGGCTTCTGTGAGTGTATTCCGATTTCCCAATGGGACACCAACCCGGATGTCCACCCCCTCTGAAGCTGAAACCATGGCTATACCCACAGACTCTGATGGTGATGTCTGATTGCTCGAGCCCACCTCCGGTGTATGTGCCAAGGCTAGAACCCGATCAACACTGGCTTCTAACACTTTATACTTCTTCTGCATCTTCCTATATGCCTCTGACCCAGACTCTACTGATGGCCCAGCCATCTCCCCCTCATGAACTCCCATCCTAGCTTCTATAAGCCCTTCTACAAAACTATCTGTCTGGGAACTCTCCTCTTCAGAACAAACATACTCACTGGCCTCTTCACTCTCAGACATCTACAACATGCAGAAACAAGAAAAAGGAACTAATGCACATGCAAAGAGGATCTAAGCACAAAAACACAAAATTGGACAGCCTCTACATGTTTTTTGATCTAGATGCATACATTCAACATGTTCATACTCATGCTCAAGGTGTTCATCATACTCTTCAACATGTTCATACAAAAGTTGAATTTCATTTCAAGAATTCAAGAGAAATGAGGTCTAACCTTGTTTGCACCACCACCAAAATCTCACCGGAAATCTTTTTCTCCTTCTCACTTTCTGACAATCTTTCTCAAAAAATCTCCAAGTATGATGCCTACGTCACTCCAAGTTCCTATTTATAAGGCCCTAGGGTTACAAGAGAAACCCTAGCACCCTTTCACCTTCCCTCCCAAACCCTAGGCCCTAGGGTTACAAGAGTACCTACACAGCATTTCTAATTTCAAATTAGTCACAAAAAAAAAACGAAGGAGGAAGTTGAAGGGACCTTGCCGAACGGCAAGGCCCATGGAAATGCAAAAAAGGGACCAGCTCAAGGTTTAGCTCACAATTCAATTTTGCCCAACAAGATGGCTGGAGCCCGACCCTTGTCCTAGCACTTAAGAAGCCCAAGCCCAGTACAAGGCTAGGCCCAAATTTGCCTTGGTTAAAAGCCAAGCCCAAAACCCAGTTCTAAATATAAAGGCCCAGCTTTCCTACATTTAAATTCATACCCAAGCCCAAACTGGTCCTAGTCCAGGCCCAAAGTCACGGGCCCAACCCCCACATCCACCCAAATTTGCCCAACCAAATAGCTACAATTTGGGCCAGCTCCAAACCCCGAAAGACCCAGCTCTAATCAGGTCAGCCAGCAAAAATTTACAAACACCCTTGCCAAACGGTAGGGGATGGGCAGCAATAAAATGGAGGCAACCAAAATTCCTTACCTTCACAAGACCCAGCTCCACGTCTGCAAGGATTGCCCAGGCCAAGCTCCAAGCTGCTGAAGCACGACCAGCTCAAGTCGGAACGAGTCAAACAATTTGATCACGGGTTGAGCAAGAAAATCGAGGGCTTCACAAAGTTCCCAGCTGTTTCTTCCCGAAAGCCCAGCTCTAAATTTCAGCCCCAGACTTACCTCAAGCAATTTGATCAAGGCACCCAACCTCCCAAGCCCAGGTACCCACTTATCAAATCTGCCCAGCTCCAAGACTCTAGCCGAAAAAAGAAAAAAAACAAAGGAATCTCAATTTTCCGATCCACCCTCACAGCTCCAGCTCCAACTCCACGTCCCTCTTCAAAATCAGCCACGGTGCCCGGCCCCTTGTTGACACAACCCTGACGAAGCCAAGCTCCACTCTTGCTGACAGTTCACGAAAATCACAATGCTAAATCACCCAGCCCCTGCTCCGATTTGCTCAAGACACCCAAAACGCAAAGGTGCCAAACCACTAAGGGCCTAGACCCGAGTGCCCAGCTCAACCAAAGTGCTCAAGGCACCTTCAAATCTCTGCTTGCCGAACGGCAAGCACCGTTCGGACGGAAAGGGAGACACCCGATCTGCCCAGCTCCGGCTCAGCTTGCCGAAGGAACGAACATCTACTAAAACTACCTGGCTGCTCCCTTACCGAAGCTCAAGGCACCCAGCCAACCCTTCGAGAAATCTGCTCCCTGCCGAAGGTTCAGCTCAACACAGCTGCTCACCAAGTCCCCGAGCCCAAACCAAAATCGCCAAGACTTGCCCACGCACTTGCCGAAGTAACCGGATAACCCAGCTCTATTTCGAAAGACCAACCCCAATCCTCCTTCTAGGAGCCAAACCAAAAGGAACCTGCCGAACGGCAGGCTCCGTGGAACG